GATTTGAATTTGCCTAATAGGATGACTGTTGTTTATGGATCTGTGTTTGTTCTATTCAGCACAAGGAAATAAAGTTTAAGTTGAGGATTCAGCACTAAAATCCTTGAAATCACTTTTCATTTCATAAGTGACATGCTTTATGCAAATAATATATGGGAATGCTTTGTGTTGAAGTTTTCCTGCATTACCATTGATGACGAAACAAGGAGTTCGGTGGCTAAACATTTTTTAAGAAGTTATTATGGCTAATCTTCCTGAACACAAGTTTTCATGTGGGGGAAAACAACCAAAAAACAATAGTCACATAATTTTTAAAAATTCGGGGTTTGTTTTGGTTTTACCAGTATGTGTTATAGAATGGTTTAAAAATATAATTCGTAACACCACAACTTTGATTTCTTGTAATAGTATGTAAAAAACATACTAGATTTTCTAAAACAGCATTTTATAATTGCATTTTTTTGTTCGTTTATTTAGGGTGCTGGGGATATAATCCAAGGGCACTTTATCACTGAGTAGCCCCTTTTAATTTGAGACTGAGTCTCAGTAAGTTGCTCTTTCTGGCCTTAGCCTCCCAAGTTGCTGGTGTAAACAGTATGTGCCACTGCCAGGTAAAATACTTGCCTTTAATTTACCAAGTAATTGGCTATCCTTAGGCATGAATTTATTTAAAATGTTTTAGAATTCCCTACATAAAAATAATTTAAGGGAAAAATCGTTGATTAAGGGATATGATATACTGCTAGAATCAAATTCTTAAATTAAGTGGAAAGAGTGAGTCCCAATAGAGCAYTTCTGCATCTTCAGAGCTGGCTTCAGTCACTTAATTTGTTCCCCCAAATCTGAAGAATCCAAGTGCTACATAATGCCTAAGGCAATTTAACTTGAGTGAAGAGAAGGAAAGACAAGAAAACAACAATCTATGAATCTTCAAGTCCTTGGGAAGGCCAACCCACAAATTCAGTCCCATAAACATATTCATCACTACCTTTGGTTATAAAGGAATAATTGTTCTCAAGAGTCTTAAAACTATAAATAAGTATTGTCATGGGTTCTTCAACCTACTAGTGCTGGGGTTGAGTCTAGTCCTTGCATATGCTAGGCAAGCTCTCTACTACTGAACTACATACACACCCAGCTTTGGACTTCACTGTTGACAGGCTCCGTACCTTCTTGGGGCAGGATGGGGTTGAAGAAACAAGAGCTCAGTATGTACAAGGAAATAGGAATCTAAATTTTAGTGTGGAAAGGGGGCATAACACAAAATACCTGACTTATGAGAGAAAGAATAAGATAAAGATGAAGGCATCTATCACATGCATCTAGCCATCCAATCAGTAACAGGCCAACCATCTACTGAGATATCTCCCACTTCTTATGTATTAAAACAAATGTTTGTTTCTCTTAACCAAAAGTGGTACTAACCCTTTGAGGTACAGGCTCAAGAAAATACAAAGGATTTGTATAGTTCAGTTATTTGACTCACACATGCTATGCAGATACTCTCCCATTCATATCCCCAGTCAAATCTAATTTTAAATGGGGTAAAAAATTTAAACAAGACAAAAATAAGTGAATGGCCAATAGGAATATAAGTTATTGTGAAAATGTAATAAAAACCAAAATGATTCTACTAAGACTAGGTAATAAATTCTAGCAACTGTAGCTCATAAATTGCTGGAAAAAATAGTAAAATTGTATAGCCACTCAGGAAAAAGTTCGGCAGTTTCTGACCAAACTGTCTAATTCATAGGTATTTATCAAATGAAATGGAACATGATCAGCAAACCTGAATGTAAATACATCACCTTTATTCATAATACTAAAAACTGAAATCAAAGCTTTCCAAGTGGTAAGTAAACAAACAAGTAAACTGGTATACTCATTGTACTGGAATATTAGGATAGACCTATGGATGCATCTCCAGCATCATGGGAAATAAAGCTATTCTATTAGCATTCTGGAAAAGAAAACAGGCCTCCTAAGGTGGGGACGTGCATTAGAAGTGATAGAACTTTCTTGAATGAGCTGGTGATCACAATGTGTTGGGTAAAACTCAATCTACAAAGAAAGTGGTGCCAAACCTATAATGAAGGGCTAGGTCATGTCTGTTTTTTACCTCACTAGAAATCACACCAGGAAATCATTGGTTCTTACCTTGCAGAAGTCTACTGAGCTAATGTGGGTTAGCCTGTGATCATTAGTCTACAGTATAGTAAARTTGTAGATGAGACTCAAAATGCAGAATATTAAAGTTGGTTTGCAGTTTAGGAACGACTAATAACAAATAACTCTACAGGTTTATTAATGTAGTTCCCAAAAATCTGTCCCCCATGCTTTCARCATTCAGAATTAAACTTGAGGCGTATCAATCCAGTTTACAAACGAAACTAGGTCAGAATTATAAAGGATTCCTGTAATAAGAAAGCACACACGCGCACACACACACTTTGGCCAGTTCTTGTTTCCACCAGCAGTCAAGAAACTATTCAAAGAACAAACATCACAAGCAGCTTTCCAGTCAAACTGTGGTAGGAATGGTAGGGCATGTCCTTTTTAGTAGTTGAGTCTGAAAGTCAATCGGTTAAAAATATTTTTTGACCACAACTTAAATTCTCTTAATTCAGAGACTAAAAGTAGTGTACTTCCCGCCCTTGTAGAACTTTGGTACRTTCACTAAGGTGGATTTTATTAGCAAAGTAGTCCAGCAGCAGCCACCAAAATATGAAGGTGGCTGGCCTGTCCAATCTTTAAAGTTGCTATAAGTAGCATCAATTTCTGAGAACGAGAGAGGTGATTTTTCAGTAATGAGTTACATTTCCCTTAAGATATAAATTCCTCCCGATCCATCATGGTAGGGGGCTGATCTAGGGAGTTGCCAGATATCAGTAATATGAACATTATGACCTAAGCTCTGAAAATTGACCAATACACTATCCAAATAAATGTAGATTGGCCCTGAAAAGGCCTCTGTTCTTCCTGAAGATTGCATTCAAAGTAACAAGGGAAGAACTCTGGATCTGTTTTATGTCACTTGATTTTACATGGGGCACAAACACCCACATTGTGAACTGTCTCTGAAATTCCAATGTGTACAGCCACAATTGCCTAAGAAGCATGCTGTGAACCCAAATGTTTTAGCATGCTTCTTATGGCTTTTGCCACAATTGCAGGTCCTAACAAGAAGACCCAGTGCAGTACAACAAATCTCAATTTTTAAAACACTTTTCCTTTGCCCTGAATATAGAGAGAGCTGGGGAATTCTCCAAACCAGAGCATGCGATCCTCCCAGGAGGGAAACGAGTTTTTTGGTAAAATTTTACTTTTTCTAAATAAGTTGAAAAGGCAAATAAAAGGAGATCTTGTACCTAAACATGGAACATTGCTGGAATACCCACCCTCAAAGCTCCTCAGTAGGTCAAGGCCAAGGGTATTTGTACAGAAAGTCCCTCCTCTGGTATGAATTTTCTCATCAGTCTCTTTGGGTTCACAGCATGCTTCTTATGGCTTCTGCCCCAAATATACCAGCTATACRCATTAAAGAATGGATAGTTCAGAGCCTAAAGTTATACAGCATGGGGCTTGGGATTCATAAGCCAAGTGAGTTAACTCTAAAWCAAACAGTGGGGAGCCAGAGAAAAGGGAACTTGCAATCTCCTGTGTTGAACAAGGATAAAACTAACAATAAAGCTTACAATTGGTAAAGAAGGAGGGGGGGAGAAAGAAAAACAAAACATTTCAACTACAGAAAATCTAAAACAAATATAAAAATAGAATGTATCTCAATAAAATAAAAAATTGTTAAGTTGAAATGAAGTGACAAATTAATATGCCAAGTAAAACTCACATAGACTAGGATTATCCACAGAGCAAAACAAAAACCCAATAACAAACAAAAGTAGGTGAGGGATGAAGATCTGGAAGGGTTGGAGGTTTGTTTTTTTTGGGGGGGGGGAGGGGGAGGGGTGCTTTTTTGGCTCCTCCTGCTGTGTCCCAGACACTCTCAGCCCCATCTGTGTACTTGGTGCAGTTTCCTAACTGCAGACAGCTTAGTGGGTCCAGCACCAACTCCCAGTAAGCATCTTGAGTTGGCTCTTTTGAGGGTCACTTTTATAATTACATATTGTACTCATTTAAGAAACACTAATTTGGAAGCAAAATGAAAAGCAAAACTTTCTAAAAATAAGTTATTTATTGCTCGTTTTTAAAAATAAATGAACATTTATAATAGAATTCCAAATTTGATTTAGTCTAATATATTAACAAAAAGAACAATACACACCAGTAAACAAGGATTTCCAACTTGCTACATAACTAAAAAACAAGTCAATTAAACACTTGCTTTCAGACAGGGGCAAACATCAGTCACTGCCACTTAATTTGAAAAATCCATGTTGCTTTCCATACCTAAGCAACAATTCAATAGGGGTTGCCTTGCTCTTCCCCACTGGAAATGAACTGAAAAGCTATAAGCCAAGAGAAGGAAAGAAGAGCTGAATTGAAAGATAGGAACTAAAGTCAAAATTCTTTCATTACCCAGAGGAAGGTGGGAGTGGTATTATTTCTACCAGGTTTACTTGACTCAAAGTTTGATTATAAGAGCAGCCCAGGACAGATGGGCATGGTGACACATCTGTAATCACAGCAACTTGGGAGACTGAGGCAGGAGGATCACAAGTTCAAGGCCAGCCTTAATAACTTAGACCTTGTCTCAAAAAATAAAAAGGGGTGGGGATGTAACTTAGTGGTAGTACACCCCTGGTTTTGATCCCAGTACCATGAAAAACAAACAACAAAACCAACCCAGGAGAAGATTTTATTTGTGGAATGTTGTTAGCATGGTCATGTCCTAATTTTTTCTTACCATCTAGCAGTGTCTGATCATGTGCCCATACTCAGGGTTGGGAGAGATGCTAATGATGTGTCCTGGGCCTTCCTCAGATGCCACAATGGCTTCTGCCATAGTAAGACTGAAAAGATGGCTCTCTTTTCCTTAGAGATACTGGCTCGGTATCAGATAGAGGTATGGACATATTGTCAATTCTAGAAGAATCAACAATTTATCCCACAACTGATGCATTAAGCTTTTCAGAGCTTCAATGAGATTGTCAGTAGTATCACTTTTTGTACCTATAAAACATTTAAAATTCTCTATAGAATATGGTTCAAAAAAGTAATCAGATTGAAAGTTACTCTGTTATTCATGATGACAAAAGCAATCCCTCTTCAGTTACAAATCAGCACTTAAGTCCTGTAATTGAGCATGTCTTCACACCATCCCCTGTTTTTGGCCTCCATATAGACAGATGCATTGCACTGCTGCATGGTACACTCCATCTCAAACAGCTGGCGACACCCAATCGTTAACTTTTCCCTAGGGGAAAAAGAAATGTTAAGTCACTACATGAAAGCTAGTCAGATAAATATTCTTTCTTATGAAAAATAAGAATCGTATACATTAATTGTGTACTACATGATTTTCTGAAATATGCAGACATTGTGGAATGGCTCTGTCAAGCTAATTAACAAATGTTTTCCTTACATGTACTCATTTTTTTTGTGGCAAAAACATTTAAAAATCTATTCTTAGCAATTTGCGAAATACATTGTTATTAACTTAAGTTACCATCTGGTACAACAGATCCCTTGAACTTACTACCCCTAGCTGAAATTCTGTGTTTTTTGACCAATATCTCCCCAACCCTCCACCACTCACTGCCCCCAGCATAGTTACCATCATTCTGTCTACTTCTATGAGTTCAACGTTTTTAGACCCCACATGAGAGTGAGATCATGTGGTATTTGTCTCTCTGTGCTTTGCCTCTTTCACATAACCTAATCTCTGCTGGGTTCATCCATGTTGTCTCAAGTGACAGGATTTCCTTCTTTTTAAAGGCAAGATAGTATTCAGAGGTGTATATATACCACATTTTCTTTGTCCATTTATCAGCTTAAGAACACTTAAGGTTGATTCCACATTTAGCTATTATAATTAATGCTGTTATGAAGATGGGAGTGGATGATAACTATTCATTCTGATTCCATTTTCTCTGGATATATTAAAAATTCTTAATGCAATGTGATAATACTGGGATTTGAAATATATTCTTTGATATTTGAGACATAATACCAACAATTATAGTTTCTTAGTAGACAACAAGAACATGGGAGGATAAACACTTAGGTGCACAGAGTCTCAGCCAACACAAGACAAACCTTGGCACAATTCCCAGAATTCAGGAATAAGGGTGAATCTCTGTCAACAAAGTTGGGTACTTAGAAACAATCCTTTGGATGGTGGGCTAGGCTGAACAATCTAGCTCTGCTCTCTGAAGGACCTTTCCTAGCAGGAAATAGGCTTATGTTAAGATGTTACCAAGGGGTAAGCAACACTGTGGAACAGGTGGCTTCATCTTGTCTTGCTAAAGAACCATGGACTGGAGGATGTACCTCCTGAAGGAACAGAAACTTAAGCAATAAATTGACAGAGTTGCTACTCTTTAAAAAGGGACTGTGGCATAARTTGCCTAGCAATTAATGATTGAGTATTAGTAACTACCTAAGCCAAGTGGGGAAGCAGGAAGCAATACCTAACATAATCCCATTCAGAATATACATTGTGTAGAGACAACAAAGAATAAACACCATATTCTGAACAACCTCACTTCCTGAGGATGTGTGGTTTCTGAGTCATTAAAGATCTGACTTCTAGCTTTGAGTTACCCTAGTCCTACTTCCTATGTTTTAAACTCAAAATTAGTGTCATGTTGCTACTAATTCTTAATAACTATTAAGAAAATTACTTTGGGAACACCCTTTTAAGAAGTTCAAGATAGGGCTGGGGATGTGGCTCAAGCGGTAACTCGCTCGCCTAGCATGCGTGCGCCCTGGGTTCGATCCTCAGCACCACATACAAACAAAGATGTTGTGTCCGCCGAAAACTAAAAAAAACAAATATTGAAAAAAAAAAAATTCTCTCTCTCTAAAAAAAAGTTCAAGATAGCAGAGATGAAAATGTTTTCTTATAAACTTAAATTTGAAACAAAAAGGGCAGGCAGGCCCTACTGACTTTGGTTACTTATTTCACATGTGAAAAGAAATATCCTTCAGTAACTAAACTTCTGAATCTTCCTCTTTCTCGCCCTCCTCCTTCTCTCCTTATCCAGGAAAGTACTGGTTGTTTTTCGTAGTGTGTTTCATATACACACTATTAGATTGTAATGACAGGAATTCTTCAGTTCCTTTTTATGCCCACAGCTTACACGTTARACGACAGAACATTGGAGGTGGGGGCACCGTATCCCTTTGCTTGCCATTCTGCAGCACCTTCAGTTAATTTTAGATGTCTCCCAACTGCAACTAAGTTCTTTATCTAGGGCCTGTAAAAACCATTATCCAAGTCTGCCTAGATTAAAACAAAAACAAAAAACTTTTTCTACCTTTTTCCTCTGATAGCAGAAATACTTTGCATCCCTTATCATATTCCTATTTATTTTTCCAACTCCTGATCCTTTCTGGAACTGTGCTCAAAATTGAAGGTTGCTTCTAATTCTGCAATTCTATGTTGTTTTACTCAAAAACAACAGCCACTGTTTTCTCTAAATTTTCTTATATGAGTATCAAACATGCTTTGACTAAATATTAGACTGGTCAAAATAACTATAGTAATCTGGCCAATTAATTAAAAAATAATTCCATGTCTGACTTTAAATTTTCTTTCATCGGAACACAAGAACCAAGGTTTGGAGTCTCAGCTCCCTGCTTTCCTATGACATCTCAACAAATGGTGCTGGCACAACCAGATATTCACATATACAAATATGGATGAATGCAGCAGTGAAGGTGGACCTTTTACCTCATACCACATACAGACAATTCCTGAAGATTTCTCAACTTTATAATGATGCAAAAGCAATATGCTTCAGTAGAAACTGTACTTGGGACTTGGGATTTTGATATTTTCCTAGACTGGTGATAAGCTGTCTGAGATCTCTGGAGATGCTGGGAAATGGGAGTAAGCTACCTCTCAGTTAGCTATGGAGCTGCAAGGGTAAAGGATCAATTCTCTACAGGGTACCATGTTGCTATTCAACAAGTTAGATGTATTAAGTACATTCTGACTTAAGATATTTTAATGTGCATTTGATGCATTTTCAACTTAGGATATTTTCAATTTATGACAAGTTTATCAGGATGTAACCCCATTAAAATCAAAGACCATCAACATTATGCCATTCTTTTCTAATTATATCAAAAGTGTATATTTTAGATTATTTTTCTCTAAGGCTGTTTTTTCTGTCTAAATCTAGGACAAACCAAGTTCCTAACTTAACACAAAGGTTCTGAAACTTCAGTCTGCCCTGGAGGGGTTGTTAGAACCGTTTGTAGGGCTCTACTCCTAGTTTCTGATTCACAATGACTGGTGTGAATTTGCATTTCTCATAAGTTTCTAAGTGATGCACACTCTGGTCAGGTCCAGGTCCCACTTAGGGAGCTATAACTCTAGAGTAATCCTGAAGATATTATCATGGTGCTGATTGCTGGAATCTGAATGCAGTAATTCCTGAAAGCACTTGCCAAGAGAAAACAAGTTTCTGATGCATATGCTGCTTTAGGCAATATATTACTTGAATTTGCCAGTATGATAATTGAGATTTATAGTAAGGAATGTATGCTTAGTGTTTAATTCCTGCCACACAGCTTCTAAAATCCTTGGATTCTCCAGTGATGTGTCCTTTGTGTACTAATGAGATGACTGAGGGTTGGGGGTTCCCAGACAACCTCAGGATGAAGTTCAGCCTCAGCTGGTTGTCACAGGAAGCAACCCATGTGATTAAAGAGTTGGAACTGACAGTCTTATCCACAACCTAGAGGGCAAAGGGACTGAAGATGGAATTGATCACCACTGGCTAATGATTTAACCGGCCATGCCTTCTTGAATTAAACCTCCATAAAATCCCAAAAGGTCTGGGTCAGAGAGCATCAGGGGTGATGAAAAAGAACAATGCATAGGCTAAGAGGGTGGGGGTACCCCAATCCCAGGAGCCCTTCCAGACTTCACTTGACTGATCTCTTCATCTGGCTATTTACCTGTATTTTWAAGAATATCCTTCATAATAAATAGGTGCACGTAAATAAAGTGTTTCCTGAGCTCTGTGAACCACTGTAGCAAATTAAGAGAACCCAAAAAGRATTAAATTACTGAATTATATCCAACTGGTATCCGCTGAGAATGAGTGGCAAGTTTGACAGCAGGAAATTTTGGTTTGCTATCTGTCTCATACAATCAGGTACTTTGAGGCTGATGTCACAAACTAGTTTATATTTCAAATTTAAAAAAACTATCCTAAGAGACTTGCTCACAAACATTCCAGAAAACTGTCAAAACTTAAGGAGAAAGAAAATGTAAATTAATACTGTTCCTAGCTTATTTCTCATCTAAGAAGAAGATGTCACACCAGGGATTGGCTGGAATTCTATGTGATAACCCTGATAATTTACTGCCCTGGATTTTCTGAACAAACTGGTCACCTGTACAGAGCAGCAGTGCTCATACACTCCACCAGCAGGGATAAAACCTACTTGAAAGCATCCAAAAACTAGAGATGACAGAAAATACCAAATGAATTATAGATATAGCACCAGATTTCTACCTGCACTATGGAATTTAACCTTGGATTTAAACTAATCTGAAACCTTAATTCACTGTTTTTTTAGAACCCTTAGAGTAGTTTTTATATTCTTGAATTACTTAAAGAACTCCTGTTTAAGACAGGAAAATAGTTTTCTCCTTCTGTACCTATACTCACACACTTCTCTTTTAACACCAGATGTGAGAGGATGGGGGTTTCAAGCAGCTCTCCAGTGGATACCAAGGGGGTGTCTCATTCAATCCGATTCTGATACTTTCTACCTGGAATCCATGCCCACTAGTTGAAAGTTCAGTCCCTCAAAATTACTGCCTGTTACATGCCAATCACAAGTAATAGTTTGTTATTTATAAATCAAGGTTCCCATGACCCCCTTTTCTCCTCAGGTTTAATTTGCTAGGATAGTTCAAAGATCTGCTCAAAAAACAGCTCAATGAAACACTTAAGATTACACATTTATTATAAGTGGTTATCAAGGATACAAGTGAACAGCCAAATGAAGAGATGCATGCATACACACAGGCATACCACTTCTAGGCACCTCCATATGTCCAGCAACCAAGATTTCCCTGAACCTCATGGTTCAGGAATTTTAAGGGCGGCCTCCTATTGTGGGCATAATCAGTTATTAACTCAGACTCCAACCCTCTCCAAAAGCCAATAGTTACTTTATTAGAACAAAAGATGCTCCTAACACCCAGAATTTCTACGGACGGTCGGAGTTCTATGCCAGGAACTGAGATCAGAGACTAAGTACTAGAAAATAAGCATCTCCTAGCAAAAGAGCTCCATCTCAGCAACCACAGGCAGAGACACAAATTTCTTATGACTTCATACCTCCCTATTGCAATAATCTGATGTGACACATCAACAATCTCCTCTTTTAGAACACTTTAAATAAATAAATACATACATACATACCAGCCATTTCAGACAATTTAAGTAACTGTTTCCCTTAACATGTCCACAAAATGCCATCTACATGCATGTTAAATCATCATCTGTTTTCACCTCTCAGTTATGGTGCAACCTTTCATCTACTGCACTTGGTCCTATGTCTCACAAACCAGTGAAACCAAAAGACTCTGTCTCTTTTGGCAGCTTATTTGAAAATTATGAGCTATGGCACAGTAAAATATACTATACAGTTATACAAATAATTGAAATTATACAAATAATTTCAAAAGAAACAAGAGTAACAAATCCAAATGCTATTAACCAAATGCATTCAAGATACTAAATGTATTTATCTTCAAAATCATTCTCTTGAGTATAAAAGGGAGCTTATTAATACCCAAATACAACTATTCCAAAAGCAAGCTGAAGTCAAAATGATCTTGACTTCTGATTGGAACCATCCTTAAAAGACTCTGGTTTCCATGTTATATAAAATGAACTTTTTGCATCTTCAAAAATGTGGCTAAGATCAGAAGAATAAGCCTTTAATTTAATGATAGATTATCTATAAAGATGTACAAATAAGATTCTAATTGATTCACTAATATTCTGAAGTTAAGAGTAAGAAATCATTTTCCCAACTCCAACAGACTTATAGATGCCCAGTGGCTTCAGATTTTCTTGGAACTTACTTAAAACAAGTGATTTAACATTCATAGCTGCTTTGAAACATCTATGCATGATTATTAATCCTAGTGTCTTGATATCAAACAAATTTATTGATCTAAAGTTTTAACAGTAGAAGCATTCTGATAATTCATTTTGTCACTAGGCTTGCTCATAAAACTTTTAGCCACACTGGTACATGGTAAATGAACTATGCTTTAGTGACATAATGACATATTGCACAGAAGTGACATACATTAAGTTCTTCTATGGTGTTCATTTTTATCATATGAATTTATTCCAACACAATTGATACATTAAGTACAATTTAAACAAAGCACAAATTTCCCATTTGCTTATACACAAGTTTGGTAGTGAGTAGCATAAATGAACAGAGGAACTTGCACCCAGCTAAACAAGCTACTTAGGAATTAAAAACATAATTTTTAATTATGTAGGGCTGGGATTGTGACTCAGTTGTAAGCTTGCCTAGCATGTGTGAGGCACTGGGTTCAATCCTCAGCGCTACATACGAAAATAAATAAAGATTCAAAAAAACATTATTATTAAAAAACAAACAAAAAACCACATGCATACACCTCAAACTCACAACAACTACCTAAGTTCTCCACGTGTGTTATGATTTACATCCACCACTCTGGTATTAAAACTTCAATCCAATTTCAGACAAGCCTCAAACTGTAGCCGTTCTTCATGACCACTTCTACAAGCAAACTTCGGGTCTTTTTTCAAGGTAAAACGCCAGATTTGTTATAGCATTCATGTATTCCTTAGCCATTTAACAGATATAAAACTATCATACCATTTTTATTGATTTCTATACTTTTTTTTCTTTTTAACATGTCCCTGAAGACTTTAGGTGTGTGTGTCTCTAACTCCATTTTCTGCATAGGCCCTGTGGATTTTATTGCATGATTTTGYACAAGGCAGTGGTTAATATTTAGGAAGGCATATGACCTGTCAAAACAGAACTGACTATAAACCAACTACAGCTCCATGCACCCATATGGATCTCAATGTTAAGTTAAAAATAGAATATGGTGTACAGGGGATAGAAGGACAACACTGAAGGATTTTTGCCCTTAATGAATTTCTTTACCTGGACTAGAATTAAACAGCTGTCCAGTTCATTCAGGCACTTGTAACAAAATACTTTAGACTGATTAGTTGATAAACAACACAAATTTATTTCTAACAGTTCTAGAGCTGGGACATTCAAGATCAAGATATTAGTAGATTCAGTGTCTAGTGAGACTCTCTTTCTCACAGATAGCCTTTTCTACATGTTCTCACATGGTAGAAGGGCTGGCTACTTCTCTGAGGAATTTTCATGAGGGTCTAATCCCATTCCCAAAGGCCCCATCTTCTAATACAACTATTACATTGGGAATTAGTTTTCAAAATATGAATCTGGGGGCTGGGGCTGGGGCTCAGTGGCACAGCGCTCGCCTAGCACATGTGAGGCACTGGGTTCAATCCYCTGYGCCACATAAAAATAAATTAAGCAAAGGGTTTTCTTTATACTAACTGCTCTTTAAAACATATCTGGGGACCTCAGTGAATCTAAGACTCTTTCAGAGGGTCTACAATGTCAAAAAATAAACAGCTACTTTCATAAAAAGACTAAGATGTTATCTGCCTTTTAAGCCTATTTCCTCCAAAATGTAGRATAGTTTTCCAGCAATACATGACATGATTATCACAACCAACAGAATGCAAAAGCAGTTATGAGATTCCAGCTGTCTTCTATTAAGACAGACATTAAGAGATTTGTAAACTACACAACAATGCCTCTTTTGTCAGTAATATTTTTGTTTGTGGAGACATTACTTAATATGTAGTAATCAGTTATTTTTAAATAAATTAGTAAACATTTTAAAATTCTCAGTTCTAAGGTCTAATACAGTAAATATAGATACATATGGCCCACATAAAAATTCTTTGAGCCCTTCAATAATTTTTAACAATATAAAGGAGACTTGAGGACAAAAAGTGTGAGAACTACTTTAAATTTTATAGCTGATACACACACACACATGCACACACACACACAAGGCCTTTTTGTATGTATAAAATACTTCGAATTAATGTTTAAAAATTCATAGTGTGGTGCAAAAACATAGAACAATTGGCCACCTCCACCAAGTAGCACCAAATATGGTAAATCTACAAGCAGATAGGGCTTACCGATACTCAGTCTGTGAAACACAATCATAAAGTTCCTGGGCAGTAAATGTGACACTTTTATTTACCTGAAAAAAAAACACCAAAATATAGTCATTAAGAAGATATACTAAGGGGCTGGGGTTGTGGCTCAGTGGTAGAGCACATGCCTAGCACATTTGAGCCACTGGGTTAGATCCCAGCACCACATTAAAAAAAAAAAAAAAAGAGGAAGAAGAAGAAAGAAGAAAGAAGAAGAAGAAGAAGAAGATATACTAAGGGGCTGGGGTTGTGGCTCAGTGGTAGAGCACATGCCTAGCACATTTGAGCCACTGGGTTAGATCCCAGCACCACATTAAAAAAAAAAAAAAAAGAGGAAGAAGAAGAAAGAAGAAAGAAGAAGAAGAAGAAGAAGAAGGAGGAGGAGGAGGAGGAAGGAAGAAGGGGAGGAAGGGGAAGGGGGAGGGGGAAGGGGAGAAAAAGAAGAAACACCAAATCAAATGACAGTGCAACTAGTGATGACAGTGCAATTAGAATGGCCCACATTTTGCAGGTGCAGAATGTCAAGTTTCTAGTTATTGCTTTAAAAAGGACTAGCCAGTAATAATAAGCTCATTGACTATAATGTCAATAATGAACTATGTGTGAAAATACTGGTCCTATTATTACAACTTATAAAACCAGTATACAGGCCTGGACGTAGTGAGAATTCCAACAAAGCAYCTAATCATTTGTAGTTCAAATGGACAGAAAAAAACAAATTATAAACTGTGTGGAAAGTTATATTTGATTTAGGAAAAAGTTTGGTAGATGTTATCTAAAAAAACCTGTATTTTTCAGACTATTTAAGTCTACATATTTAAACTAGTATGTTTAATAAATAGTATAATCCAGAGACATGATTCACAAAATCATAAAAGTGAAGGAATCTTGTTTCCCAAAGCTTACTACTAATGTAGGCTATATTCTATTTATGTACAAGGAAGAACCTGGAAATTTGTAGAAAGGGAAATTTTTTTTTAATTGGATAACAAATAGCATAGTAGTACCTAAATTTTCAGAAACTAGGAACTAGTGGAGGGAAATGCAATAATACTATCTTCTATTTGATTCACTTTTTAAAATATTTGAAGCTACTAACTGGTATGAAGTTTTGGTGGATAAAATGCTTCTATTCTGGATTAATTAATGCCACTTTAAAGATTCATATCATAAAAAGTCTAGAGTTCAGGGTATTATTGCTTATTTGCAAAATTCCAAGATCTCCTTCAATGTTTTCATAAGAAATTCATCATATTTGTGAAGAAAATGTTTCATTTACCTGTATGTTGAAGTACTGTCTTTTTTTTTTTTTTTTTTCTTTTTTCAGTACTGAGGATTGAACCACCCCCTTCAGGGGTAATCTACCATTGAGCTACATTCCCATCCTGATCTGTCTGTCTGTCTGTCTGTCTGTCTATCCTATCTATGCTGTACTGGGGACCAAATCCAGGGCCACTCTCTATATGCCCAGTTGTTGTTGTTGTTATTGTTATTTACAAAAAGTTAAATGAAGAGCTAACCAGTAATGAAAGTGAATGAATATATTTTAAAGGAGTTGGACTCCTTAAGAAATGTGAAACCTACATGTGTCACAAAAACTCCTTCACTTAGGGTATTTTAAGAATCACWCACACACACACACACACAMACACACACACACACACACACACGAGCAAAACTGGGAAAAGGAATATATAGAGAAGAGAGGCAAAGAGCTTTAGGCAAACAAAAACTGAAAATCAACAGAATACTTTCTTGGATCGGCAATGATGAGGAAAGCATGCAGGTTAGTTTACAAAACACACTGCACCCTCTTTACTGCTCTAACTTGGGGTCTGTGCTGTTGCAATAGAGGAAACGAAATTAGAGAACTTTTCTTTCCTGTAATCAGCAGTTCTCAAACAGAGGTGGTTCTTCCTCTCTGAGGGTCATTTTGGGTCTGTGAGTCGGGTGGGGTGGTAATATTTTTGATCGTCAAAATGACCAGGAGAGCTACAGGCATTTAGTGCCTGAGGAGTAGTGATGTTAAACATCCTGCAAGGTTCTACACAATGAAGAAATGACCTGTCCAAAATGCCAACACATCCCTGACGAGAAACAATTCTGTTCTGAAGCAACTGTGTTATTTTAGGACACTATTGTATTTTTACTTAGAGAACAAAATTAAAAATTGAGTATGTTACAGGCAAGGAGTGGGGAGGAATGTGGAGATGTAGGTCAAAGGAGACAGAGTAGAAGATATGGAGAGTGAACATTCTAAGACAGCCAATGTACAACCTGAGGACTACAGTTAATAACAGTGCTATATTTAGGATTTTTTTTCTGAAAGAATAGATTTTTGTTGCTCTTGCCACACCCAAAAAAGAGTACTATGTAAGATGGTGGATGTTAATTTACTTGATTATAKTATCTATTTCACTATGTATATAGTGTATATAAAAACATCATTTTATACAACTTAAATACGTACAATTTTTTAAAAGGGGAAAATAAAATATGTTGCTGGCAAACTTCTACATCATTCAATAATTTAAAGTGAATGTCTAATTAAATAGCAAACATTGTGTTTTAGAACATCTATATTTAATTATATTAATACTTGCTAATAATAGAAATGTGATAAACATTTAAAAATATTTCTCATACCTCATACTTGATTAGGAAGTTATAGAGAGTTTCGACATCTTGATAATTACTGTTGGGGGCCAAAATTCTAAAAAAAAAATCAAAAGAACAGGAGGGGAAATGAATGATTTAAGAATAAAGCAATACCTTGAACTATTTCCCCAAAACACACCTATACAAGGAAAGATAACTTATTATTTAATGTTTATTCAGAGAATCACAATTTTTTGTTTTATAATCAATTAAAAATATATAAAAACACAAATTTAATCCAACAAAGATTAATTTACTATTATATTTCGCCTTGTTTAAAGTAATACTTCTGCTGGGCACAGTGATGCATGCCTGTAATCCCAGCAGCTAGGAGGCTGAGGCAGGAAGATCATGAGTTCAAAGCCACCCTCAGCAAAAGTGAGGCACTGAGCAACTCAGTGAGATCCTGTCTCTAAATAAAATACACAAAGGAGCTGGGGATATGGCTCAGTGGTTGAGTGCCTGAGAGTTCAATCCCTGGTACCAAAAAACATTAAAAAAATAAAATAACACTTCTAAGCAATTGATTCACAACCATACATATTCACATATGCAAAATTATAGTTCACATTTTGGATTACAATTATACAATTTCTCAGAAAGGAAATGGAAATGTGAAGTGCATAATCACTCCATATCTTTTAAGCTGAGAACAAAATGTCCTTGCCAATGCTTGATACTGTCAGACTCGAGAGCCAACTGATCTCAATAATCTTAATTATATCTTTAGATTATTTAGTTTTTTTTTATTTCTATGAAAAACTTTTATAAATAATTTTTTTAGGACACAGTTAAAATTTTTAAGATGCTTTGCTTCCTCGGAAGAGGCATATGCAGAGTATCCTTAGGAATATACAAAAAATCTGAATGAGAATACCAGTTTCATGGAAAAAGTTTTTCTCMCAACTAATAATTTTAAAATACAAATGATCTTCTAAACAAGAAACCAACCAATACCACCGCCCCCCCAAAAGAAAGATCAAGGATAATACATGGGAGGGGGGTAGTCCATAAATAATTTGCTTTTAAAAATAAGCATAGTATATCATCATTATCGCAGTCACCCTACTGTTAGGCACACCAGAACTTGTTACTGCTAACTACAACTCAGTGCCTGTTGATCCATCTTCCTGGAACATTCTTCCTCTCCACTCTRGTAACCATCATTCTATTCCCATTATCTATGAGATCACCTGTGCATTTCAAAATGCTARAATAAAGGATTTTGAATGTTTTCACCAAAAAGAGATGATAAATGTTTTGAGAACATGGATATGGTTAACTCTATTTAAACATTAAACAATGTACACATATATTGAACACATTATACCCCCTAAATATGTACAATTTTTATGTTCTATATATCAGTTTAGAATKTTTTAAATGAAAACAAAGCTATCTAGATAAATTAACCAAACTCTTAGAAAGGAAGTAGAAAATACACTATGTTGTAACTCTGCAGCCCAGAAAAAAATAAAATATCAGCAATGTAAAATAATTATACCTATTTCTTTCATGGTTTTGTCAACTTGTTCTTAACCGAGGTTAAGAAAACTAGAATGAAGATATTTTATAAAGAAATTTATAAGCTCTAAGCCAATATCACAAAAGAACATACTTTACTAAAAAATAGAATTAACATTCCTCTGCTCTGAAATACTTTGTAGRAAAACTGGTTCAAAGTAAAGCAGTCATTTGTCTGTAGCAACAAGTCACACTCAAAGTAACTTGTATTCCAATGAGCAAAAAATTGAAATATTTTTAACTTCCACCTTGGTTTTAGCAGTTTTAATGAGCTATAATTTATATGCCATAAAATGCACTAATTTTACCAACTTTATAATTTTTAAAAAAATTTTTTGTAGTTGTGGGTGGACAGAATGACTTTATTTTACTTGTTTATTTTTATGTGGTGCTAAGGATTGAATCCAGTGTCTCACACGTGAGACAAGTGTTCTGCCACTGAGCTACAACCCCAGCTCCAACTTAAAATGATTTTTTAAATAAAATTTACAGATCTGTACAATGATCACCCAATCTAATTTAAAACATTTYCTTCACACAGAAAAAGACCTCTCTTGCCTATTGGCTTGCAGTCTTTCTCTGTTCTCACTTCCAACCCCAACTTCAGGAAACCACTAATCCATTCTCTGTCTCTACAGAGTTGCCTTTTCAGACTGCACCAATTTCTTCATTTCTAAGTTCCTTCTCTCTTACCCTCACAAAAGCATACTTGTAACCAGAAATAATAGCATACTATATTAGAGTCCAGAGAATGAGGCAAACTCCAGTGGATAATGCCCAACTTTCACAATGTATTTGATGAGTAAGAAAGAAACTAAATTGCATACTAAAGACATCCATATCAGAACAAGTGATCCTTTATTCTCTCACCCAACAAATATTTGAGACTTCCTAGGAGCCATGCACTGCTCTAAGTCCTTGGATATAATAGTTAACAAGACAAAGATTCAGAGTAGACCACAGCATTACTATTCTAAAGAGCATAAGAAAGAAAACAATCCTCACYAAGTACAGGGACATAATGAAGCAAGAAAAATGATCTGGCAGTCCCTCCCCACTTTCTAATTGCTAGTTGTAAACAAAATAAGAAACACAGGAATTTTAAGCTTCAAAGGAAGAAGTCACTTGTTCCAAATGTAAATACTTGATTATTTCACAAAATATCACAGAGCTGTATTCCATGAAGATGTTACCTTTGTAATCAGAATAAAACTATACATGTTATTWAAAAAAAAAAAACTAAGATACACAAACTAGAATTTGTTATAAAATTTGTTATTCTAAAAGAACAGTTTGAGGTAGTCTGAGCCCAAAGTAGAACAGACAGCTTTTATTAAAATGCATTCACTTGGAGACTGAAGTTGGATTTGTCCTAGTATAAAAAATTACAAACTTTTACTCTGTAGTACAACTTGTTGAAGATACATAAAAAATAAAATGGCAAAAATGGCTTATGGAATTCGATGCTTTAGTAATTCCCCACACAAAAATTCTTGAGAGGTCAGCCTCCTCTCTAAAGTCTTCTCAGGTTCCCCCTCATACCAGTAGGAAGACAAAAGACTCTCAGAATGAAAGCCCTGAAATTACTTGTCAACRCCAGCTTTTAAAAGGGAGGACGAAAGAATCATCCTGTGGGGGAAATGATATACATTTCTGAAAATGGTGATTTTTATTTATGAATAATCCACACTTATCTTTTCAAAATAAATTCAGAATAATAAGTATGTTAAATTGACACATTTTACACAAATACATATTACAGTGAGTGCTATGAAACATAAAAGAAAACTACAAGACATGTTCCCCATCTTCAAGTTCTTTATAATCTTAAATTTTCTCTACAATAAGTTAGTGGGAACAGACGTCTGACTCGGGGTTTGATTTGCAGCTCATAGATGATTTATAAATTGAGAATGACCTGAATGCCCTTAGGTTCCCTTTATAACAGCATCAATAATAATATAAAGATTACTGAACATTCCAAGTTTGATCTTCACAGGTATCATCACCAACCCTGGATTTAACTATGTGACCTGGATCAAGTTACCTACTTTTCTGCACCCCGGCTCCCCAACTGTGAAATGGGGATACAGTATAGAATTTACTTAAGAAGGTTACTGTGAAAACTCAATAAGGTATCTAGAATGTTTAATACCTGCACAGCATACATGTTCAATAAATACTAGCAGTTTTGTTAGCTAGTTTTCAAATGTGGAAACCAAGGGTCAGAGTTCTTGCCAAGATTACACAGTGAGTGGTTTGTCTCTGGAGCTCCCACTTTTCCCACTAACAAAGAGCTAACGGTCACCATCTGCTTGCCTTCAAGCAATTTTACAAAATCAAACATGAAGCCCCTTGGAGATAGTTAAATATTAATTTTATATGTAAGCAAAACCCCTTCTTTAACTTTCTTCTTATCAATGCTTCTGGCAATTCTATGGGTTCAACAATAATCTTTGTAGTCGACATATCTTTCTCAAATCCATGAGGCAAATTGGTAACAGAACTAACACTCATTAGAAGTATTGACTCTCATGTCACTTGGGCATTTAAAAGTGTTGTATTTACCATGAGCAATTAGCATCAAGTAAGCAATGTTTAAATCTGCATTTAAAAGTTTCCATTTCTGCTACAGGGACACTGCTACATCGATGTTCATAGCAGCACAATTAATAGCAAGACTGTGGAACCAACCTAGATGCCCTTCAATAGACGAATGGATAAAAAAAATGTGGCATTTATACACAATGGAGTATTACTCTGCATTAAAAAATGACAAAATCATAGAATTTG